ACCTCCACTGTCTATAGTTTGTCACAGTAATTTGTTCAACATCCAGTACTGGTTGAACAGAAATTTCCTCCAGTTACATTTCAGGAAGACTGAAGCCACTGTCTGCAATCTCTGCCACAAACTTTATTTCCTGTCCACTGACTTCATTCCTCTCCTTAATAACTGTCAGAAGCTGAACCAGACAGTTCACCATCTTGGTGTCACATTAGCTTCCAAAATGAGTTTCTGCCCACATATCCTCACCATCCCCAAGGCTGTCCATTCTACATTTTGTGAAAGAAGAGACACATTCACTTATATAACACATTTTATGACCACAGCATGAGCCAAAGCACTTTACAGCTAAAAATTGAACCTCAGTTTGTCAACTGCTGAAATCATTGTCTGTGCCTTTGTTAACTCCAGTAGTGATGATTCCAGCACACTCCTGACCAAACTCCCAGCTTTCAAACTTGAGATCATCTAAAACTTTACTGCCCAAATTCAAATCAAACCAAGTCCTGTTCTTCGATCTCTCTTATGCTCACCGATCTACATTGACAGCCAGATGAGCAATGCATTGAATTTTAAAATTCATCCTCATTTTTAAATTTCCTCGCGGCTTTGCATTTTGCTATCCCTATAATCTTCTCCATCTTCTGTAATATACACAGTGGTAGATGTTTGGAACTCTCTTCCACAAACGGCAGTGGATGCTACTCAGATGTTAGTTTAAAATCTGAGATAGATAATTTTTTTTTCAGCAAAAGTATTAAGGGATATGGGACAAAGATACACGGAGTTTGGACATAGATCAGCCACGACCACATTAAATGGTGGGACAGGCTCAATGGGCTGAATGGACTATTCCTGTTGATATGTTTCAATAATTTGATTCCTCCAATGATAGATTCCTGCAGGTCCTTGATTTCAGTCAATCCACATTGCACGGCTGTGGAATTTCTCCCTAAACCCTTCTATCTTTTTGATTCTCTTTCATCCTTTAAGATGCGCATTAAGACCTAACCCTTTGACTGTGCTTTTGGCCATCTGCCCTATTTATCTCCTTGTGTGACTCAGTGATTAAACTTTGTTTGGTAACACTGCTGTGAAGCAGTTTCTTCTGTATTTCTACATTGAAGGCACTGTACAAACACACTAATATAAGCACAAAGAACTACAGATGCTGCAAATCTGAAACAAAAACAGAATGCTGAAGAAACACAGCAGGTCTGTAGAGAGAAAACTGAGTTAACATTTCAAGTCCAGTGACCCTTTGTCAGAACTACTGTTACTGTACAAATATAAGTTGTTTTTGTTAGTTAATCAAACCTTCAGTCACTTTTCTTAACACACTCTCCCCGAGTATTGGATTGACCCATTTTCCTTTATTTTTCAGTGAAGTGTACAAATTTCAAGCAGTTGTAGTATAGTTGTTAATTGTTGATCTGATGTTTCAATGAATAATGGATACACAAGCATCATCAAAGGAATGAACATGTATAATTAATTTGCTTGAATTGACACAACATGCAACCGATTACAAAACTTTACCTTAAAAAATAAGCACTGAGCCAATTAAATGGATTTATTTTGCTCTAACATGATGACTGTTTTTGCACTTTTGATATTCAGCTTCTTCACTTCAGCTTCTGTTAACAAAAAGTATTTCACTTCCACGCAGCAATTCTTTTTTGAGATTTTGTGACCCCCCCCTCTACTTTTCAAAAGCTCTACGCCATTGTGTGACTGGTAACACAAGTGTGGGAACAGCTTAAAACAACAAGTATGTTACTATGGTAACAGTGTGTGGATCCTGAACACTGCTACCTAACGGGACAGAACAAAGAAGCTGGTACTGTCTTTCTAAAGGCTGTGAAGACCTTGCACAAAAATGTTTTGTTAATTGAATTTCAATAGTGACGCTGTTGTTTCAGCTCAGTGTAAATCCAAATCATTCTGAGTGTTACAATTTTGTTTTTGAATCCAGTTGAAACTTCTATAAAAGACATTAGATTGTCTAAAATAAATTAATTTTAATTTTTACTGCCCAACTAAAAAGGCACACAATTTTAAACCTCATACATAACAATGACAATGTCACAATGGACAGCATTCTTTTCCAGCTGAGGAAATGTTTTAGAGAAGCTGTCGTATTTAATCTTGCGGGAGTTGGCATATAATATAAACAACTGACAAGATTAACCTAAGTTAGAAGGCAAATTCAGTACTTTAACTGGTTATGATTATTTTCTTTGTTGCACTAACTTTTTGAATTGGTATATTAAAATTGTAAATCCCAGGGTCATAACCAGTTGTGAACTAATTGTATAAAATAAAGAACTGCCGTTGCTGTAGATCTGAAGCATATAAAAACAAACTGCTGGAGAATCTCAACAGGTTGATGTAACTGGATTCGAAACATTAACTCTGTTTTTCTCTGCACAGATGCTGCCAGACCTGTTGAGTTTCTCCAGCAATTTCTGTTTTAGTTGTGAACTAATTATGTTGTTTCGAAGGAGTTATTTGACCAAATTTGACCATTGAATGAACTAATCTGTCAAGACTTAACAGAAAAAACTTTAACTACAGAGTGCTTTCCTTATCTATATTCCATTGTATTTGACAATAAGTTTCTTTCGTTTCAAAGAAACCCTGAGCTGACATTAATAAATCAAAAAACCACTGTAACTGCAATTGTGATTTCCCATCATGCGGGACTAACAAGCAATGCTTTTCATTGATCTGCACATTAGTCAATGTCATACTGTCAAACTGGAAGAGACAGCTGAACCCACAGATGTAATCCAACAATTCGCGTGACAACTACAGAATATGTAAATATTAAAAATGATGAAATAATCCAGACATGTTTGAGGTATTATGCATAGGAAGCAAGTGGCTGATAAATTACTTATTGATGAGATAGTTAATGGCACGGTTGACCGTTATCTAGGATATTATTAGGCTTTGTACTCAGTACACTGTTCATTGAATAGAGTTGAATGTTGCCGTCGCATGTGCAAAACATGAAAGTGCAAGTCAGAGGAAATAATGCTTACACTATATATCACTGCAGCCAGACAATACTTTGAGCACTACAATACAACGGAAATAAGTACTTGAACAAAGGAGATGGTGCAAAGAAATGTTAGGTCCTTGATCCCCAACATATGAGGAAATACTGTAGAAGCACAAACTTTGCATCCTTGAAAGATGGCAGCACGTAAAAGTGAACAGTATAGAAAAAGGAAACCCGGAACATGAGCGCCTAAGCCACGAGACACTTTGGAATGATATCAGGAAGTTAATCACATGAAAATATAGACTTATAAGTTGATTGGCAGAGGGAAGAACCCAGGAATGATTCAGTATATTTTGGGTTGAGATGCTGACTGTGGATTCATTCGAGTTGGATAGATGGAGCACCACCCTTACTGGTCTCACTGATTAAGGGGAGGTGGTGAGGTAATAGTAAGGTTACTGTATTAGTAACCTAGAACACTAGGCTAGAAGGTCTGGGTACATACATTCAGATTCCACCTCTGCAGATGATGAAATTCAGATTCAATAAACAAACCGAAATATAAAAAGATAGCCTAATGCTGGCCAAGTAACTACGTCAATTTTCATAAATAACTCCACCTGGTTCACCAATGTCCGTGAAGAAAGGAATCTGCCATCCTTACTGGGAATGGCTTACTTGTAACTCCAGATCCACAGCAATATGGTTATAGAGTCAGAGAGTTATACAGCATAGAAACAGACCCTTCAGTCCAACCAGTCTATGCTGACCATAATCGCAAACTAAACTAGTCCCACCTGCCTGCGCTTGGCACATATCCCTCCAAACATTTCTTATTCATATACTTAGCTAAATGCCTATTAAATATTGTAACTGTAGCCACATCCATCACTTCCTCTTGAAGTTCATCCACACACAAACCATTCTCTGTGTAAAAAAAAGCCCCTCATTTTTTTTTAAAAATCATTCTCCTCTCACCTTAAGAATAATGCCTTGTCTTGAAATCCGCCCCCTTATGGAAAAGATGCCTCCCATTCTCCTTACCTATAACCCTTATGATTTTATAAACATTTATAAAGGTTGCCCCTCAACCTCCTGCGAAAAAGTCCCAGCATATCCACCCTCTCCTTATAATTCAAACACTCCATTCCTGGTAACATCCTAGCAAATCTCCTAACCCTAACCACTCTCTTCAGCTTAGTAATATATTTCCTATAACAGGGAGGCCAGAGAGGACAGTACTCCAGAAGAGGCCTCACCAACATTCTGTGAAAACCTCAACATAATGTCCCAACATCTATACTCAAAGGTCTGAGCAATGCCTCCTAAATGCCTGCTTAACCGCCTTACATACATGTGATACAAACCTCAAAGAATTATGTATATGAACCCCTCGGTCTCTCTGTTCTACAACTACCTAAGGCCCTAGTTTTAAATGTGTAAGCAAGTTAACTCTTAACTACCCTCATAAGAGTCTGAAGAAGTCTTGCTGGACAAGAAACATTAACTCTGATTTCCACTGATGCTACCAGACTTGTTCAGTTTCTCTAGTATTCTCTGTATTTGCCACAGCAACGTGTTTGACTCTCCATTGTTCTCTGGGCAATTAGGTATGGGCAATAACTGTTAGTCTATCCACAAACACCCACATCCCATGAACGAAGAAAACAAAAATCTGATGACTTTGGTTCTTCCGTTTTCCCTTCCTCTCATCCACTACATTACTCCTCCCCTTCCTCAAATCGATATGGGTAACTGGCACTTACACACGGTCAACAATGGAATGGAAAATGGACAAGCAAAATCAAAACAAGATTATGTAAGAAAACAAAGATTATTTAAGGCGTTGGTTTTTGCAAAGATAAAAATACTAATAACCCTCCCATTTTATAGGGTGATATTGAAAATCGAAGATCAGAAATCTATTACAGTAGTGTAATTTCAATAAAACCCTGGTGTCACCATGTTTATACTTTTGAAGTGATCATTCACTCACATTCTCGTGTTTCATGTGCTTCAATAGGCGAAGTTCCCGATAAGCTCGTTTAGCAAATAACTCGGATTGAAAGGGTCGGTATAATTTCTTGATTGCTACTTTAGTGCCAGTTCGCTTATCAATGGCTGAGCTGTGGGTCAAAAAAATCAGAGATTGGTAAGAATGCATTTAGTGGGTAATATATCCGCGAGTATACAATCTTCAGATACAATAACATGTGGCAAGTTTTTTTTTGAGAACCCGGAAGAGCTGTGGCCCAGTTCACAACTTTTTCAGTTCACTGATTGTATTTAAGTACATAGCGTTCGTTGAACGTGTATTTTTAATCTGCTGAACAAAGAGAGAGAAAGTGTGTGTGTGCTTTTTTTTTTAGGCGTCAAATGAGGTGAAGAAATCATGTTGCCCATCAAAGGGCAAGTTTATAAAAAAAAACTATCCAATCTCTAAAACGAAACTGGGTAAGGAGATAAGATCCCACTTACCAAACACTTCCATAGGCTCCTGAGCCTACAGCAGCCAGCTCTGTGTATCTCTCCAATACTTCCCAGGCTGTTTTATTAATCTCCTGGTAATAGAAACCCTTTCTCGTTGTCATTGTAGCAATTTACCAGACTTTGGGACCCGCTCAGAATTATCCGAACAAGACGCTAGAAGTAAAAGTGTCAGTTTCTTGTACTTTTGTTTTCCTCCCAAAAACCGCGAGTTTCAGAGCGCCGACCTCAGCTCCTTCACCCACCTTAAAACTGAGCTGAACGTGTTGAACTGGATGCCTTCATTGACTGACTATCAATGAGTACAACTCTAGAGTAACTTAGAATAGTTCCCCTTTGTTCGGATTAGTGTGACTACTAGCTTCCTCTCTGTCTTCTCTCTCTCTTTCTGTTTTCCCCCCTTCTGTAATATTCAATCGTGTCCTTCAAAGAAAATCTTTGAACTTTATAAATCACGTGTTTGATCAGTATTTGCAGTGAGGTGGTGTTTCGGTCGCTTTAAGTAAACGTTGTCTATTGCCAGCAGCTGGATTGGAGACTGCCATCGCATGGAAGTAGTCGATCATTACAAGCCAGCTGCAAATTCTAATGCCAGAGACAAAAAAACTGCAGAGATAGTGAGAACTGCAGATGCTGGAGTCAGAGATAACAGTGGGGAGCTGGAAGCACACAGCAGGCCAGGCAGCATCAGAGGAACAGGAAAGCTGATGTTTCGGTCGGGACCCTTTGGTCAACTTTCCTGCTCCTCTGATGCTGCCTGGCCTGCTGTGTTCCTCCAGCTCCACACTAAGATGCTGAAATCCAAGGTAGACAAACAGGAGGCTGGAAGAACTCGGCAAGCCAGGCAGCATTTGGAGGAAAGCAGAAGTCAATGTTTCGGGTATTACCCTTCAGTCCTGAAGCAGGGTAAGACCTGAAACATTGACTTCTTTCCTCCAGATGTTGCCTGGCTTGCTGTGTTCTTCCAAACACCTGTTTTGTACACCAAATTCTACTGTTGCTGTGAACATTTATAGAGGTTTCATAGCATCAAGTATTTCTGTAAACGGTACTAGAGTTGGTGATCAGTGCCACATAAAACCAAAGTTTAAGTAGCACTATTCGTACAGTGTAAAATTTTTTTCTCAACCTCCTCTTCACTTTTGATGTCCTGCTTTCTAATAAAATCAGAATTCCAGCACTGCAAGATGGCTTGAGTTGAAAGGATATGGCTGACAACTGGTTTAGCCATCAAGCATCAGCTATTTGGCTGGACCACCTAACAGTACGGAGTCCTAGTCTCGGAAATCTGCTCCAGGATTGTCCTGGAATTGAAGGATAACCTGTGGCTGTTTTTCTCAACTGCAGGCAATCTTCCTGCCTCTTCCCTGTCTGCTCACCCTCACCAACAATGGCATGGAAGGACCTCGTGGTCGTCTGACACTCCGACTGACACAATCTCCTCATCTGCTGTCTCAGTGCCTCCCACTACTCCACCTGACCAAACTTCCTATAATACCCTCGTGCCCTGGTCCTGAATTCTCACTTTCTCTAGTCTCTTGATCACCCCTAGTGCTTCCTGATCTCATTTTATTGATCAGACTCCCCTCCTCTTTCCTCAATCTTATTCCCACTAAACTGCTGATCGGCCAACTTCCCCTCCTTGTTCCTTCTATCAGCAGATGTTGTAATTGTCTCTCTCTTCAGGTGTAGTCCCTCTCACCTTTAAATCTGCTGTCATAACCCCTCCTCATAACATCAATGCTTGACATCCTTGCGCTTGCAAACCACCAGTCTCCCTTTCTTCTCCAAAATAACTGTGCTGTTATCTCTGAAACTCATGCCTGCCTTTCCTGGAACTTCCTGTTTCCAACCCTCCAATCTGATTTCTGCTCCTGAATCCGTTAATGTCAAAAATACAATGCCATCCTATGTGATGATGACAAATGTCCCTACTTGTCCCTAACCTGTCTGCAGCCTTGACCATGGTCAACCACACCACCCTCCTCAGTGTCTGTTGTCTGTCATCCAAGGGGGAGGTGACAGCCCAGTGGTATTATCACTGGACTGTTAATCCAGAGACCCAGATAATGTTCTGGGGACCTGGGTTCAAATCCCGCCATGGCAGATGGTGGAATTTGAATTCAATAAAATATCTGGAATTAAGAGTCTAATGATGACCATGACCATTGTCAATTGTTGGGAAAAACCCATCTGGTTCACTAATGTGCTCGAGGGAAGGAAACTGCCATCCTTACCTGGTCTGACCTACATGTGACTCCAGACCCACAGCTATGTGGTTGACTCTGAACTGCCCTCTGGGCAATAAATGCTGCCCTTATCTCGCTAATGAATAAAGGAGAAAAATAAAGTGGGAGTGTTGTCACTTGATTCTAATCTCGTCTATCTAACCTCTGCTAAAGAATCACTTACAATAGATTATCTTTCTGCTCCTGCACTGTTCAGTCTGGTGTGCCCCCAGGATCTATCCTTGGCTCCTTCAATTTTTCATCTGTATCTTGCTCCTTGTGTCATCACTAGCTTGCACACGTATACTAATGACACCCATCTCTACCTCGACTCCTGCACTGTTACCAAGTTATCTCCTCTTATTTGATATATTGTACACGATGAGCTGAACTTTACCCCAATTAAAGTCTGAGAAAGACTGAACCTATTGTTTTTGTTCCTTGCCTGTCCAAACTCCATTTTCCATTCTTAAAACACACGTCCCTGACCAACCTTGTCATCCTACCTAACATTTCCTTATGTGGCTTGGTGTCATACAACACAGAAACATTATAAAACATAAAGTATCGTGGTGTATTTCATTATTTCAAAAGTGCTACATAAGTATAAGTTGTTTATTAGAATTATCTAATAATACAGAAACCAGAATGGAAAAAAAAATCTCTTAATCCTTTCTTTTGGGATACTCTCCCTAATGCTTTCAGAATTTTCAACATTTCTAATAAGCATGTTTTTACCAAATTTTCCAGTCCACTGGCCCTTTTTTTTATTATTTTGGCCAAATCAAATTTTTGTGCATCTTGAAGACTGAGATTAATGGCTTTTTAAAGCTTTTGAATAAACAAATGTTGTGAGGCATGAGCAGGAATGTTGTGTTGAGGTAGAAGATCAGCAGTGATCAGGTAGCATAATGTTGACTTACTTCTAACGTTCTTTTTTTTTCCTAATCCTATTGGCAGTTCATTTCTCTCCAGTCAGTCAAATACCTTATGATACCATCACCTTCTATGTGGCACTTTTTCAAAGGATGGATAGAGATGCTGGGTTGCAGTGTCATCAGCTGAAAATCAGTATCTTTATATGTGCCAACTTTCTCAAAGGGAACAACTAATAGAGAACATAAGCATTCAAAAAGCAGGATTTGTATTTATATAGCACCTTTTACAACCTCTGGATGATCCTAATATATTTTTGATGTCCAAAATGCTTTTCGTTTGGTCATAGGATATGGGAGCTACTGGCTAGGATGGCATTTCTTGCCTATTTCTAATTGCTCAGAGGGCATCTAGGGGCCTGCCCCATTCCTATGGTCTGGAGTCACATGTATGCTAGATCAGGTGGGGATGGCAGATTTCCTTCCCCAATGGACATTAGTGAGCCAGATGGGGGTTTTTATAACAATCGACAGTGGTTATCGGATCATCGTTAGACTAGTTTGTTATTCCTTAAATAAAAATATTGGATTTGAAGTTCACCATTTGCGATGGTGGGGATTCAAATCCATGCTCTCGGAACATTGGTCAGGGGTCCTAGATTACTAAGCCAGTTATATTACCAACCTCACCTGTAGGAACATGGCAGCCTGTTTTTGCACAAACTGCAATCTGATCAGGATCAGCCGATCTGTTTTTGTGATGTTGGTTGAGAAATAAAAATTAACCAGATCACCAGAGATAATTTTTTGAAATAGTGCTGTGGGATCTTTCACATCTACTTGAGACCAGAAGGCACCATGGTTTAATGCCTCAATAGTGAGGCAGCATAAGCTCTGTTCTCAGCATTAATGTGTATCACACTTCATTTTTATGAGCTGTAGGAGTGAGGTTTGAACCAACAACTTGCTGAACCAGTTGCTGCCAACTGAAGACAAAATGAAATTTAACGTTTAATGACACTGCAGGAAGACGATAGAAATAAATGTTATTTTCTGGAAGAAAAAAAATGTTTTGGATTTTTGAACACAAGCAATTTTTAATTTTCAAGGACGATGCTTTCTTGCACATAATCCAACAGTAATTGCTGCTTTTTAAAATTCAGTTTCTTTTTTTCATTAGAGCATGATTTTGTTTTTGTCAGCTCAGTGCTTTGTTCCAGACACAGCTGCCTAGTTGCTCAATCTGCAGGTAACTGTCTGATGAGGAGTTTACAGGTAACTGTGATGCTTGTATTTCTCAGATTGGTCATGACCCTGTTTTAATTGGAGCAAGAGGAGTGATACTCAGTTACCCAAGCAGCACCTTGTTAGAATTCACATTAAAACTGCGTCTTTAGGGGCACTGCTAACATAATTAATAGGTGTGCAGTTCAATCATATTAAAAGATTCTAAAATAAGCAACAGAGTCCCAACCAATCCAAAGGGAAACCTCCGCAGCTGAGTCATAGTACAATCATCAGTGTCTCCGGTGCTCAATTCCCTGTGGTGACCACTGGTTGGAAAGGCCTCAATGGATGCTAGCCCCTGGGACCAGCAGTAATCACTACTACCTTCTAAGTAGCAGCAATGGGATTTAGAGCTGAGTACACAGTCAATGGCATTTTCTACAATAATTAGATACAATTAAAGTCTACACCTTGGCAAAGAAACAATCTTAATACGCATGACAGATTGATTTGAAAACAAGAAATGTACCAAAATATCATTGTGTAAAATAAAAGGTGCCTTTCATTTGACTTCTAAATTTTGTTTTTATGGAGTAATCTGTAACTCCCAAAGATTAAAGGACTAAATTGCATAGCTCCCTTTAAAAATGAATAGAACGTTTTTCAATGCCAACAGAGCTAAGGGTATTCCACAGAAGGAGAGGCAAAAACATTCCACAGAAATTGAGTTGAAGTATAAAAGAGTTTTGTAATTTCCCAGTGGTCAACCATTAGCATTCAGTTAGTTTTCATGTTGTGAAAGTCTCACCACTGTTAATGCATCCTCAGACTCATACATCATGTAACACTAAATAATCTGAACAAAACTGTCACAAAATCACCAGCTTGAACTCCACAATACATTTTGTAAAAGTATACACACCTGTGATTTCAAATTTGTGACTTCATCTCCAGTTTCAGATGACAGTTGTGTAAGGTACTATTGCTTTGATCTCGGATCTTGTATTCCATTTTTTTTAATCCTTCGACAAGATTCCCACCACCAGAGAACTGACTCCTGTTTTTCTCTGTGTACGAACATGTGAAAATATCTTGTTTCTGAACTAAATCTAGGCATGCA